GTCCTCGTAGTCCTCCCGCTCCAGCTGCTCGTTGTAGTCCAGGGTCGGGGGCTCCGGCTCCATGGGGGCCTCTGCGGGAGGGGGCACTTGGGAAAGGGGCACGGGGGGGGGGCTGGGGCAGGGGGTGGCATTGGGGTGCAGGGAGGTAACATTGAGGTGCAGGGAGGTGACACTGGGACTTGGAGACGTGGCACTGGGGTGCAGGGAGGTGACACTGGGGACCAGGGAGGTGACACTGGGACTTGGAGAGGTGGCATTGGGGTGCAGAGAGGTGACATTGGGGTGCAGGAAGGTGACATTAGGGTGCAGAGAGGTGGCATTGGGGTGCAGGGAGATGACATTGAGGTGCAGCGAGGTGACACTGGGGTGCAGGGAGGTGACATTGAGGTGCAGGGAGGTGACATTGGTGCATGGGAGGCAGCTCTGGGGTGCAGGGAGGTGACACTGGGGTGGAGGGAGGTGGCATTGAGGTGCAGGGAGGTGACACTGGGGTGCAGGGAGGTGGCATTGGGGTGCAGAGAGGTGTCATTGAGGTGCAGGGAGGTGACATTGGGGTCCAGGGAGGTGGCATTGGGGTGCAGGGAGGTGGCATTGGGGTGCAGGGAGGTGACATTGAGGTGCAGGGAGGTGACATTGGGGTGCAGGGAGGTGACATTGAGGTGCAGGGAGGTGATATTGGTGCATGGGAGGCAGCTCTGGGGTGCAGGGAGATGACACTGGGGTGGAGGGAGGTGGCATTGAGGTGCAGGGAGGTGACACTGGGGTGCAGGGAGGTGGCATTGGGGTGCAGGGAGGTGGCATTGAGGTGCAGGGAGGTGGCATTGGGGTGTAGGGAGGTGGCATTGGGGTGCAGGGAGGTGACATTGGGGTGCAGGGAGGTGGCATTGGGGTGCAGGGAGGTGACATTGGTGCATGGGGAGGCAGCTCTGGGGTGCAGGGAGGTGACACTGGGGTGCAGGGAGGTGGCCCCAAGACCCAGGGCAGTGGCCTAGGGCCAGGGCACTCACCAGGCTCGGGGTGTGAGTCCTCCCGGCCTAGCTCCCAGATTGGTGGCTCCTCTGGCTCCCCTGGGGACAGGGACAGAGCAAGGCACTGGTGGGGACCCCAGACCCCAAGCCCAGCCCCAAACCCAGTCTCAAACAGGGCCCATCCAGGCAGTAAAGCCCATGGTGGGAGGAAGGCTGAGGGGGGAACGTGACCCCAGGGGGACAAAGCCGGGGCAGCTGGGAGCTGTGGGACACAGGGTGATGTTGTGAAGTGCCAAGACCCCCCCAAAACCCAGTTGGTAGCGAGATGGAGCTCCCCAAGACTCACCTCTGCCACCCGCATCCTCCTCTTCCTCATAGGGCAAAGGCTGCTTTGGGAATTGGGGTGTTCCCTCCTCATCCTCACCCCACGGGGGCTGTGGGGTGATGTGGAGCTCCGGGGGAGGTGTCGGGGGCTCCGGTGGTTTCTTGCCAGAGGGTTTTTTGGTGGCTTTGGGTGGCTTCTCCTTGGGCTTCTTGGAGCCTTTGGGTGGTTTCTCAGAGCCTTTTGGGGGTTTCTCTTTGGGCTTCTTGGGGGGCTTGTCCCTGTCCCTGTCCCGACCCCTGTCCCTGTCCCGGTCCCTGTCCCTGTCCCGGCCCCTGTCCCTGTCCTTGTCCTTCTTGGAGCCCCGTGCTCTCTCCTTGGGCTTCTTGGTGGGTTTTGGAGTTTTTTCCTTCTTTCCCTTCTTGGGTTTCTCGGGCTCCGTCAGCCCCGGGGAGCCTGGAGGGAGGAGAACGGAGGGGAAGGGGGGGGGGGGGCAGCCGCCCCGCCGCGGGGTGAGGGGCGCCAGGGCCAGGCCGTAGGGTCCCACTGCACCCCCGCGGGGCCGCGGCGCCCTCGCTCACCGGTGTCGCTGCCGGTGCCGATGCTCGGGTCGATGCCGAAGCCCAGGTCGGTGCCGTCGTCGTCCCCATCCCCGTCGCGGTCGCCGGTGCCGAGGAGGCCGCGCAGGAACGCCTCGATCTCGGCGTCGGTGACGGCGGGTCCGGGCGCGGAGGGTCCCGGCGCGGCCCCGGGCGGCAGCAGCGGCAGCAGCGCGGCCGCGAGCACGAGGCAGGACCGGGGCGGCCCCATCGCACGACGCCGCCGGGACCGGGCCGGGAGCGCGAGAGCGGGCGGGGGACGGGGGGCGGCGGCGCGGGGCGGGCGGGGGCGGCACCGACGGAGCGGAGGGGAATTGGGGGGGGGGGGGGGGGGGCGAGAGGGAGCCGCTGGGCACCGGGAAGAACGGGAACAACGGGACCGGCACTGGCACTGCATGGGACCCGCTTGGAACCGGCACCGGCATCAGCACAGGACCGGCAGTGCACGGGACCCGCTCGGCAGTGCCACCAGCCCCGAACGGGCACTGCAACGGCACTGGCACTGCATGGGGCAGCAGCACCAGCGCTGCGCGGGACTGGGACGGCACCGGCACTGCGCTGGCACGGGCACCAGGCGGCACCAGCTCTGCACTGGAACGGGCGCTGGCACCGCGCCCCCCGGCATCGTGCGGGCGCACGGGCCTGGGCACGCGGAGCACAGGCACACTACATACATGGCACGGCGTGCACAGCACGTGTGACCCCCCCATCGCACAGAGCTGCGCACGGGACACGCGCTGTACACGCGTGTACAACCGCACAGAGCACGCAGGACGCGCGGTGTGTCAGGCAGCGCCGCACACATGCACCATGCCCTTGCTGTACATGGGATGCAGCTCACACGCACCACTCGCAGCATCCCCTCCCCGGGGCCCGCAGGCTCCCCGGGCCGCGCTGGGGCTGAGGCCGCTCGCACTCGTCACACGCGTGAGTCACGGCCCAGCCATGCTGCCGGGGGGGGGGGGCTGCGGGGGGGGAGGGCCCGCCATGAGCCTCCCAGTGCGGCTCCCAGTTCATCCCAGTGCTCCCACTGCAGCTTCTCATGTTATCAGTGCTTCCCAGTCCCTCCCAGTGCCTCCCAGTGCTTCCAGTGCAGCTCTCCCTGCCTCCCAGTGCAGCTCCCAGTGCCTCCCAGTCCGTCCCAGTGCTCCCACTGCAGCTCCTCATGTTATCAGTGCTTCCCAGTCCCTCCCAGTGCCTCCCAGTGCTTCCAGTGCAGCTCTCCCTGCCTCCCAGTGCAGCTCCCAGTGCCTCCCAGTCCGTTCCAGTGCTCCCACTGCAGCTCCTCATGTTATCAGTGCTTCCCAGTCCCTCCCAGTGCCTCCCAGTGCTTCCAGTGCAGCTCTCCCTGCCTCCCAGTGCCTCCCAGTCCGTCCCAGTGCTCCCACTGCAGCTCCTCATGTTATCAGTGCTTCCCAGTCCCTCCCAGTGCCTCCCAGTGCTTCCAGTGCAGCTCTCCCTGCCTCCCAGTGCAGCTCCCAGTGCCTCCCAGTCCGTTCCAGTGCTCCCACTGCAGCTCCTCATGTTATCAGTGCTTCCCAGTCCCTCCCAGTGCCTCCCAGTGCTTCCAGTGCAGCTCTCCCTGCCTCCCAGTGCAGCTCCTAGTGCCTCCCAGTCCGTCCCAGTGCTCCCACTGCAGCTCCTCATGTTATCAGTGCTTCCCAGTCCCTCCCAGTGCCTCCCAGTGCTTCCAGTGCAGCTCTCCCTGCCTCCCAGTGCCTCCCAGTCCGTCCCAGTGCTCCCACTGCAGCTCCTCCTGTTATCAGTGTTTCCCAGTCCCTCCCAGTGCCTCCCAGTGCTTCCAGTGCAGCTCTCCCTGCCTCCCAGTGCAGCTCCCAGTGCCTCCCAGTCCGTCCCAGCGCTCCCACTGCAGCTCCTCATGTTATCAGTGCTTCCCAGTCCCTCCCAGTGCTTCCACTGCAGCTCTCCCTGCCTCCCAGTGCAGCTCCCAGTGCCTCCCAGTTCATCCCAGTGCTCCCACTGCAGCTCCTCATGTTATCAGTGCTTCCCAGTGCCTCCCAGTGCCTCCCAGTGCTTCCAGTGCAGCTCTCCCTGCCTCCCAGTGCAGCTCCCAGTGCCTCCCAGTCCGTTCCAGTGCTCCCACTGCAGCTCCTCATGTTATCAGTGCTTCCTAGTCCCTCCCAGCGCCTCCCAGGGCTTCCAGTGCAGCTCTCCCTGCCTCCCAGTGCGGCTCCCAGTGCCTCCCAGTCCGTCCCAGTGCTCCCACTGCAGCTCCTCATGTTATCAGCGCTTCCCAGTGCCTCCCAGTGCTTCCAGTGCAGCTCTCCCTGCCTCCCAGTGCAGCTCCCCCTGCCTCCCCATGAGCCCCATGCAGCCTCCAGTAATGCCCCCGCCTTCCAGCTCTGCTCCCATTACAGCCTCCCCAACCCCTCATGGACCCCCAGTACAGCCCCCCCCCAGTGCAGCCCCCCCATACCCGAGTATAACCCCCTTCCAGTACAACCCTCTCCAAGTGCAGCTCCCAGTATGGCCCCTGCACCAGGTACAGCCCCCTCAGACCTGCCCCAGCCCCTGTGGGCTTGGGGGTCCCAGTAGTGGGGGGGGGGGGGGTGTTGGGGGGATGGGGGTCCCAATGGAGTGGGGAGGGTCCCATGATGGTGAAGGGGAGGTCCCAGCAGTGGGGGGTTCCATGGTGGGTGCCCCGTTCCCAGTGTGGGGGCCCCACCCAAGGCCATATGACCCCCCCCCGTCCCCACCCTTTCCTGCTCCTGAGTCACCTCCGACGTCTTCCGGGTGCCCCGCGGCTGCTGGGGCGTCCGTTTGTCCTGCTGCAGGCGCTGCGAGCAACGGGGTCTGTCTGTCTGTCAGCCGGGGTCCGTCCGTTCGGGGAGGGGTCTGTCAGGGGGACGGGGTCTGTCTGTCCATCCTGGTGTCCATCTGTCTGCCCTGGGGGCTTCCCACCCACTGGGGTGTCTGTCTGTCTGTCTCCCTGGGTGGCCATTTATCGGGGTGTCTGTCTGTCTGTAGGGGTGTCCCCCTATCCATAGGGGCAGTCACCTGTTCGTAGGGGTGTCTGTCCATTCTTCTGGGTGTCCATCTCTCTACGGGGGCATCCTCTGTCCTCTGGGTGTCCATTGGGCATCCATCTCCCTGTTGGGGTGTCCTTGACCTCCTGGTTCTCACCTCACGGTGCCCCTCTGTCCACAGGTCCATCCGTCCACCCTGACGCCATGTACACCGCAATCCCCACAAGGTACCACCTTCCTCCCCCCCCCCCCCATCGCCTCCCATTACCACTCCTCATCACCCCCCATCACCCCCTGCTCACACCCCCATCACCCCTCATTACCCCCCCATCACTCCCATCACCCCAATCACCCCCTGTTCACACACACACCCATCACCCCCCATCACCCCAACCACCCCCTGCTCACATCCCTCCATCACCCCCTATCACCCTCCATCACTCCCATCACCCCAATCACCCCCTGCTAACACCCCCATCACCCCCATCACTCCCATCACCCCAATCACCCCCTGCTCACATCCCTCCATCACCCCCCATCACCCCAACCACCCCCTGCTCACATCCCTCCATCACCCCCCATCACCCCAACCACCCCCTGCTCACATCCCTCCATCACCCCCCATCACCCCAACCACCCCCTGCTCACATCCCTCCATCACCCCCCATCACCCTCCATCACTCCCATCACCCCAATCACCCCCTGCTCACACCCCCATCACCCCTCATTACCCCCCCATCACTCCCATCACCCCAACCACCCCCTGCTCACATCCCTCCATCACCCCCCATCATCCCAACCACCCCCTGCTCACATCCCTCCATCACCCCCCATCACCCTCCATCACTCCCATCACCCCAATCACCCCCTGCTCACACCCCCATCACCCCCATCACTCCCATCACCCCAACCAACCCCTGCTCACATCCCTCCATCACCCCCCATCACCCTCCATCACTCCCATCACCCCAATCACCCCCTGCTCACACCCCCATCACCCCCATCACTCCCATCACCCCAATCACCCCCTGCTCACACCCCCATTACCCCCATCACTCCCATCACCCCCTCCTCACCCCCCCCCCCCAACCCCTTCTCCCCACAGCGGTTCCCCTTTCGGCCCCACCGCCTCCCGCCCGGGGCTGCACGTCTGGCGGGTGGAGAAGCTGCGGCCGGTGGAGGTTCCGGAGCGGAGCTGGGGCGTGTTCTTCTCGGGGGACGCGTACCTGGTGCTGCACAACGGCCCCGAGGAGCGGGTGCACCTGCACCTCTGGCTGGGTGCGCGCTGGGGACCAGGGCTGGGGACCGGGGTTGGGGGAGCCGCGGCTCACGCTGGGTACCAGGTCCCGGGGCTGGGGGAGCCGCGGCTCACGCTGGGTACCAGGTACCGGCTCACACCGGGTGCCCGCAGCCCGGGACTCCTCGCAGGACGAGCAGGGGGCCTGCGCCCTCCTGTCCACGCAGCTGAACGCGCTGCTGGGCGAGCGCCCCGTCACCCACCGCGAGGTGCAGGGCAACGAGTCCGACCTCTTCATGCAGTACTTCCCGCATGGCATCACCTACCAGGTACCACTGCGAACCCCCACAGTGCTCCCGGCCCTCAGCATCCCCTGAGCACCGGCATCCTGCGTGGTGCTCGGCATCCTGACCCGGTGCTCGGCATCTTGACTGAGTGCTCACTCAGCATTCCACATGATGCTCAACATCCTGATCGAGTACTCTTGGCACCCTCACTTATCCCCATTGAGCATGTGGGACTCCCCTCTAGGAGCTGGGCATCACTGGTAGGTGCTCAGCCTCCCTGGTGGGCGCTCAGCTTCCCTGGTGGGTGCTCAGCATCCTTGGCATATATAGAGCATCCTGCTGGGGGCATCAACACCAGATGCCTGGCACTCAGCATCTTCTTTGAGTGCTCGATACCTCTGGAGGGTGCTCAGCCTTCCTGGTAGGTGCCCAGCATCACCTCGGGGTGCTCAGGATCTGTACTCGGTGCTCGTCATCCCCACTGAGTGCTGGGCTGTGCACTGAGCATTCACCTTTTGGGTGCTTGGTATCTCTGCTGGGTGCTCAGCATCCCTGGTGGATGCTGGTCCCACCATGGGCGCTCAGCACCCCAATGCTGCAGGATGGTGGCGTGGCCTCGGCGTTCAAGACCCCGCGCCCCAGCGCCAGCCCCGGGCACCGACTCTACCAGGTGAAGGGCAGGAGGAACATCCGGGCGAGCGAGAGGGACCTGGCCTGGAGCAGCTTCAACACCGGCGACTGCTTCATCCTTGACCTGGGCGAGGTGCGGTGCGAGCTCTGTCCCCACCATCCCCTCCCTGTGCCCCAAACCCAGGGCAATGTGTCCTGCTGGGTGTCCATCTGCCCCCTGGGGCGTCTGTCAGCTCATTGGGGTGCCCATCCACTCACTGGGTCCATCAGGGCTACTGGCCATCCATTGGGTGGCTGTTTGTCCTTCTCTTGGGGCGTCCATCCACACACAGGGCTGTCTGCCTTGGCGTGTCTATCTGCTGGGATGTCTGTCTGTCCTTCCAAGTGTCAGTCTGTTGTGCTGTTTGTCTGCCCTTCGAGGTAGCCATCTGTCCACTGGCTCCATCCATAGGGGTGTCTGTCTGTCCTTAGAGAGTTCTGTCTCTTGGGTTGCCCATCAATCAGCTGGGGGGTTCCCTGATCCATAGGGATGTGTGATTGCTGGGGTGTTTCTCCATCTGGGTGTCCATCCGTCCATTGGGAGTCATTTATCCACCTGTGTGTGTCCATCCATCCACTGGGACAGTCACTTATCCACCTGTGTGTGTCCATGCACCCATTGGGGCAGCCATTTATCCATCTGTGTGTGTCCATCCATCCATTGGGACAGTCACTTATCCATCTGTGTGTGTCCATGCACCCATTGGGGCAGCCATTTATCCACCTGTGTGTGTCCATCCATCCACTGGGACAGTCACTTATCCATCTGTGTGTGTCCATGCACCCATTGGGGCAGCCATTTATCCATCTGTGTGTGTCCATCCATCCATTGGGACAGTCACTTATCCACCTGCGTGTGTCCATGCACCCATTGGGGCAGCCATTTATCCATCTGTGTGTGTCCATCCATCCATTGGGACAGTCACTTATCCATCTGCGTGTGTCCATGCACCCATTGGGGCAGCCATTTATCCGTGTGTGTCCATCCATCCATTGGGACAGTCACTTATCCATCTGCGTGTGTCCATGCACCCATTGGGGCAGCCATTTATCCGTGTGTGTCCATCCATCCATTGGGACAGTTACTTATCCATCTGCGTGTGTCCATGCACCCATTGGGGCAGCCATTTATCCGTGTGTGTCCATCCATCCATTGGGACAGTTACTTATCCATCTGCGTGTGTCCATGCACCCATTGGGGCAGCCATTTATCCATCTGTGTGTGTCCATCCATCCACTGGGACAGTCACTTATCCACCTGCGTGTGTCCATGCACCCATTGGGGCAGCCATTTATCCATCTGTGTGTGTCCATCCATCCACTGGGACAGTCACTTATCCACCTGCGTGTGTCCATGCACCCACTGGGGCAGCCATTTATCCATCCCTGTGTCCGTCCATCTGGGTGTCCCTTTGCCTGTGACCGCTCCATCCCCAGCCTGGGTGAGGTGGGTTGAAGCCACCACCTATGGCTCTGTCCCCACTATCCCGCTCCCTGTCCCCAGACGCTCTTGGTCTGGTGCGGCTCCGGGTGCAACGCGCTGGAGCGCAGCCGGGCGCAGGAGCTGGCCGCAGCCATCCGGGACAGCGAGCGGCGCGGCAGAGCGCGCCTGGACATCGTGGCTGATGGCGAGGAGCCACCGGAGATGCTCCAGGTATGGCAGGACCCCAATGTCCCCAGTGGGAGGAGAGGGGGTCCCCAGTGTCCCCGGGGGGTGGCTCTAAGGCCTGAGTCCGCTCTCCCGGCAGGTGCTGGGCCCCAAACCCACCTTGCCAGAGGGCAGCCCCGAGGAGGATGCTGTGGCCGACCAGAGCAATGCGCGGGCAGCCGTCCTCTACAAGGCAAGGACACGGTGGGACACCACGGTGGCACCGGGCGCCGGGCATGGCTGGGAACACCATGGTGGCCCCAGGGGACGTATGGGGCTAGGCATGGCCAGAGGACACTGCTGCAGGAGGTGACTCCCTGTCCCCGGGCAGGTGTCAGACGCGACGGGGCGCATGGACCTGACCCAAGTGGCTGCGAGCAGCCCCTTCAGCCAGAGCCTGCTCTGCTCCGACGACTGCTTCGTGCTGGACAACGGCGCCGGTGGGAAGGTCTACGTCTGGAAAGGTGCCCAGGGATGGGGATGGGGGCACACGGGGACAGGGAAAACCCCTGGTGTGGCTCTGATGCCCTATCCATAGGGCACAAGGCCAACGAGCAGGAGCGCCAGGCGGCCCTGAGGGTGGCTGAGGAGGTGATCGCCCGCATGGGTCACTCGCCCCGCACGCAGGTGGGTGCAGCGGTGAGGGGGGGCACGGGCTGGCACAGGCAGCGTCACCACATCCCTGCCCCTGCAGGTGGAAATCCTGCCCCAGGGCCACGAGACGCCGCTCTTCAAGCAATTCTTCACTGGCTGGAAGTGAGCTCCATGCCACTGCCTGCGCCCTGCCCTGTGACCATGCTGTCCCCAGCTCCACCCCTCTGCCAGCCCCATCTCCATCCCTTTTTTCCCCATCCCATCCTTGTGCCATCCCCATCCCTTTTCCCATCCACATCCCATCCCTGTGTCGTCCCATCCTTATCCTTTTGCCCATCCCATCCCTGTGCCAAGCCCATCCCTTTCCCCATCCCCACCCCTTTGTCCATCCTGTCTCTGTGCCATCCCCATCCATTTCTCCATCCCCATCCCTTTGCCCACGCCATTCCCTTCCCCATCCTCATCCCCTTGCCCATCCCATCCCTGTGCCATCCCCACCCCTTTGCCCACGCCATTCCCTTCCCCATCCTCATCCCCTTGCCCATCCCATCCCTGTGCCATCCCCACCCCTTTGCCCACGCCATTCCCTTCCCCATCCTCATCCCCTTGCCCATCCCATCCCTGTGCCATCCCCACCCCTTTGCCCACACCATTCCCTTCCCCATCCCCACAGCATTCCAGCCTGTGCCCTGCCCATGGTAACCCTGTGCCAGCACAAGTTCCCCACTGTCACTGCTGCTGCACCCCCACCACCCGCATGCCCTCAACACTGTCCTGCCCTGTGCACCCCTGTGCCTATCACCCCCATGTCCCCGCTGTCCCCACGCTCTCACTGCCACCATCCCAATGCATCTTCCCCATCCTGCACCTGGGCCCCAGTGAATAAAGGGATGGGGTCAAGTCCTGCCCCTCACTGCCTGATGCTGGGGCACCCATTCCAAAACCATGGGGTGATTCCCCTTAGTGCTCATAGGTGATGTTGGGAATAGGAGAGCTCTGCCCTCCCTGCACCAAAACACTGGCATTTCACCCCAATTCCTGCACGGGACCACACATCCATCACCAAAGAAAAGCCCTTTTATTGTTGCTGGGAGGGATGGGGAGGAGCAAGCAGTGGGGAAAGAGCCCACAGGGCCACGGGGGGAACGGGTACCCTCAAACCCATCCTCTCCTACTTCTAAAGCAACACCAGGGAAGAGACTCAACAAGGGGAAGGTGGCGGCTGGGCTGGGCTCTTCCTTGTTCACAGTGAATTTGGGGTGATGGGGGGGGGGTCCCACACTCATGGGAGACAGACCAAAAGATAGACCCAAACCCTCCTTTGGCCTTGCTGGGCGCCCTCCATGGGAGCTCATTCACACAGCCTGGAGCGTGGTTTGGGGACAGGGAAGAGAAGAGCAAACCCCTGTGGTGGGGACAGCAGAGGGGGACGCTCACGGCGAGTTTCAGGGGTGGTGACAACGCTGCAGAGGAGGTTTCATCTCTGCAGGTGATGTTAAACCCCGAGAGATGCTAGAGTCAATGCAAGGGCCTCGCCAGCGAGCCAGAACGGGGAAAGCTGCTCTGCTGCGGCCACAGGGTCAGAGGGAGCGTGGGGAAAGAGGCAACTTGTTCCCTGAAAATGCCCTGGAAGGGATTTGTCATCCCTTATCCCTGAGCCCTGCAAGAAAATTCAGAGCCTGACCCAAAGGTAGGAGCACTGCAGGGCTCGGGATGGGACCGGGGCCTTCATCCCAACCAAGGGCTGGCAATAGGGGATGGGAGAAGGGAGCAGTGCTGGGGTCAGCCCCACCGGGAGCGGGGCGATGGCACCAGTGTGGAGAGAGAATCAGAGTCAAAAGAGGAGGAAATCAAAGGCAGAGCCGTTGGGAGGAGCGGGAGGAGCCTGGCAGTGAGCCCCATGGCCCCTCACTCGATGAGCTCCACGTAGTTGGCCGGGAACATGCCAAAGTGGCCGTCGGGGCCGTAGCCGCGCCACCAGCCCTCATCGATCATCTCGATGTTGGTGATGATGTTCTCCGGATCAAAGGAGATCTCAGTGTCATCAGCTGGAATGAGACAGAGCGAGGGAGGGAAGTGAGAAACAGGCGTTAGGGGAGAAAAGAGAGAGAAGCCAACGGAGGAAAAAGAGAAGCCAGAGGAGGCCACGGAGCTGCTGCGAGGGCTGGAGCAGCTCTGCTCTGGAGCCAGGCTGAGAGAGCTGGGCTGGGGCAGCCTGGAGAAGAGAAGGCTCCTGAAGGGGAGACCTGAGAGCAGCTCCAGTGCCTGAAGGGGCTGCAGGAAAGCTGGAGAGGGGCTTGGGACAAGGGCCTGGAGGGACAGGCCAAGGGGAATGGCTTTAACCTGCCAGAGGGGAGACTGAGCTGAGCTCTTAGGCAGAAGCTCTTCCCTGTGAGGGTGCTGAGGCGCTGGCACAGGGTGCCCAGAGAAGCTGTGGCTGCCCCATCCCTGGCAGTGCTCAAGGCCAGGTTGGACACAGGGGCTTGGAGCAAGCTGCTCCAGTGGAAGGGGTCCCTGCCCGTGGCAGGGGTTGGAACTGGAGGAGCTTTGAGGTCCCTTCAACCCAAACCACTCCAGCTCCAGTTTGGGTGCAAGACCCTCTATGCAGTAGCAAGATGGGAACAGCCTGGACCCAGCAAACCCCCCTCCCTAGGGTCAGAGGGGAAGCTGGGCTTTGCAGCTCCTACCAGCCTGGTAGTCGTAGAGCGCCCGGGCACAGATCCCCTTCCCCGTCAGGTCCGGCTGCTGGTACTCCACCGGGTACTCGTATTTGGCATCATCCACATGTTCCTTCAGGAAGGAGAGAGAAGAAAAGGAGTTACCAGTGTGCACGATGCAGCTCGGGCTTTGTTAGCAGAGCAAGGGGCTGCAGAACAGGCTCTCACCACCCCAACACAATGGGGTGCACATCACAGAGCATCCTGGTTCCCTGGATGGACTGGGAGGTGTTGAACTGCAGGAGAAACAGCGGGAAGGAGGTGTACAGCACCCTGCAGCGCCCAGAGACTCGCAGCAGCCCCCCCAGGCTCAGAGCACTGTGTGCAGGTCCCAGATGCCCCCCTGGCTCTGGGAAGCTCACACCAAGTGTCTCTGCTGGACTCCTAAAGGAGCATCATAAGCAGAAGCACCAGAGACCGGCAGCAGACAATCCCTCTGGCAGCCAGTCCACATCCCTTGGGATCTCTGCTGCAGGCAGTGGTTCATCACCCCATGGATGCACCCTTGAAGCTGGACCAGCTCCAGTTTCCCCACTCCTGCTCCTCTGGAAGCTCAACACTTCCAGACAGATTTGGGAATGAGAAAATCAAGTCTGTCTGAAATGCTTCTGTGTTTGAGAGCCGGGAACGGGCGGATGACTAAAGGGGAGGAAACCACACGGCCACCGCATCTCCAAGGGAAACACTGCAGCATGACACAACCCCGCTATTAGCCAGTGGAGAAGCTGACAGAGCACACCACAGAGCTGGGCTTTGTCTGCTCCGCCGGACTGGGACGTGCAAAGCAGCAGGAGGAGAAGAGGCTGCTGAGAGCCTCCCCCATTGTCACCTCCTGGGGCAGTGACACCGGGGCCGGTAAGAGGGGCTCAGCACCAGCACCACTCCCTGTTGGCAATGGGAAGGATGCAACAGCATTCCCACGTGGATGCAGCCCGAGCTCGGCACTGATTCTAGCTCCCATGGCACCAACCCGAGGGGGTTCTTCATAGATGGCCGAGGAGTCCGGTGGCTCCTCGTACAGATTTGCCTCTTCCTCGTGGGAAGCTGGGACGCTGGAATTGTACCCAGAGTCTCGCCCTGTGAAAGAAACACACGGGATCTCACCATGGTACCCCCCCAAAACCTCCCCCTGGCCCCTCACTTGTCCAGCTCCCGCTCCAGGCTGAAGTGCCACCAAACTTGTGGGGCATGGATGTTCCCTGACCTGTCCTGCAAGCACAAACCCAGCCGCGAGGCCAGTGGGGGCTTATGGAATGGTAGGAAGGACAAGGGAGAGCCCCAGGATCTCCAATGAGGGAAGGAATAAGCTTGCTCGGGATGAACCATTCCCAAGTTGCTCCTCAAGCCTGACGGGGAAGGCTTGGTGCAGAGACCCTTGTCAAGAGCAGCATCTAGTGGTGACTGCGGTAGCCTTGGGCAGGGCCGGGAGCAGCCTGGGGACAAGCCAGCAGGGATGTGAAGCCACACGAGGACAAGGGAACACCTCCGTGTCACCCTCGGCCCATGGGGAGACCCTCCGGATGCAGCCAGCCCTCCTCCAGATCTGCTCTTCCCCCACACACCGCCTGGAAGAGGACAGAGCATCTCCCCACAGGCAGAGCAAGCTCTTCCCTGCATGGGTCCCTCTCCCTGCCATCGCCCCAGTGAGGGCAGCGATGTGCAGGCAGATGGGCACTGCCAGCCCTGCAACCCCGCACTGACAACAAGCACCTGTCCTCTGCCTTCACTGGGTGATAGAACAGCCCTGACCGCACGAGTGCTCCTGCACGGGGCCAGGAAAGGTCCTTTGCTTCTGTCAAAGGCATTTTGGAAAGGCCTGAGAGCAAACTGCACATCCCCTGCAGCAGGAGGGGCTCTGGGGGTGCACAGAGCTGAATTGCAGCCTTTCAGCCAGGAGATGCCCTCAGCCCCTTGGCCACTGAGCTTTCTGCTTATCACAGACTCACAGCCTGGTCAGTGTTGGAAGGACCTTAAAGCTCCTCCAGCTCCAACCCCTGCCACGGGCAGGGACCCCTTCCACTGGAGCAGCTTGCTCCAAGCCCCTGTGTCCAACCTGGCCTTGAGCACTGCCAGGGATGGGGCAGCCACAGCTTCCCTGGGCACCCTGTGCCAGCGCCTCAGCACCCTCACAGGGAAGAGCTTCTGCCTAAGAGCTCATCTCAGTCTCCCCTCGGGCAGGTTAAAGCCATTCCCCTTGGCCTGTCCCTGCAGGCCCTTGTCCCAAGCCCCTCTCCAGCTTTCCTGCAGCCCCTTTAGGCACTGGAAGGCTGAAGGAGGAAACGCAGGGACCTCCCCACCAGGCAGCAGGAACTCACTCGCCTTCTTCCCCAGCCTCAGCATCACACTGAGCCCTTGGGACAAACTCTGCTTTCTGGCCTGAAGATCTGAACCAGAAACTCCAAGCCTGGCCTCAAGCTGCCCATCTGGGACTGCCGGTGGCAAGCGCTGGGTAGGTGAGGAAGCAAGGCCACGTACCTGCTGCGGGCACCGGAGAGGCTGGAGGCGTCCCCCGTGCAGCAGAGGGGATGAAGGCGGTCGGGGCAGCGCCCCGGGCAGGGGACCCGGGGCAGGCAGGGCTCGGCACTGAGTCCACCTCCTTCTGCAGGAAAGGGCTGCGAAGCTTGCCTAGGACAGGAGCGGGATGAGCTGCAGGAGCTGGGCAGGCACTGAGGCTTCCAGCCATGCAGCAGCAGCTCCGTGGCCCAAAGGGCTCAGTTACTGAGGGGGGCTGTGGGATGCTTTTTGCCGTAGGAGCCCCCAGCTCCATTAGCCTCCTGAGCAGGATTTTCCAGCTCTAATCCTGGCTGTGGAAAACAAGTTTGTCTCCTGGTTACAGCAGGAGCTGCAGCACAAAGATGAAAAAGGCATTTGGGGGGGGGGGGAAGAGTTCTGGGGAGGATGGGGTCACCCAGCGCTTCCCGCAGGATCTCTGGAGCACCCTGAATTCCAGGCATTAGGAGCAGCAATGGGAGGGGTAGGATTCAAAGTGGGCCTTTGGCAGAAGGTAACTATCCGCTGTTATCTCCTCCATCTACGCCTCCGAAGACAAACACAAGCAAAGCAGGAGAGTTATGAGGTAAACCCTACCCCAGCACAGCCCTCAGCAAGCACCAAGACTCACAGGCCCACCCTCAGCCCCTGGGTTTTATCAGTGCCAGGGCCTCTGTCTCCCTTTCCACCACTGGAAGCTGTCAAATACTAGGGAGGGAAACCCCAAGGGGTTTTGTGCTCCTATCACAGGAGTGCTTATTCCAGATGAACTCCAGATACCTGGGAGGAGGCTGAGCTGCCTAAGAGCAGCCGCTCACCCAGGGCTAGCACGTGTGCTCAGCTACTTCCTCAGCTGCTTTCAGCTTTGCTTTCTCAGCTTCCTGGTTTCTATCTGATCAGATGATAGATCAGATTGGTCTCTTCTGAAAGAACACGCTCCTGCTTAGTTCAGCCAGTGGAAAATGGGTGGAATGAATCATGGACCCAGCCAGGTTGGAAAAGCCCTTTAAGCTCATCCAGTCCAACCGTTCCCAGCACTGCCAAGGTCACCACTGACCCACGGCACTGAGGGTGTGTGAGCACTGCAGGGACGGTGACTGCAGCCCTGCCCTGGGCAGCCTGTTCCAATGCCTGAGCACCCTCTGGGGAAGGAATTGTTCCTCAGCTCCATCTAAACCTGCCCTGGTGCAGCTTGAGGCCGTTTCCTCTTGTCCCATCCCTTGTTCCTTGGGAGCAGAGCCCAGCCCCTCCTGGCTCCATCCTCCTCTCAGGCAGTTGTAGGGAGCAATCAGGTCCCCCCTGAGCCTTCTCTTCTCCATCTGAGCCCCCCCAGGTCCCTCAGCCCTTCCCCATCACCCCTGTGCTCCAGGCCCTGCTCCAGCCCCATTGCCCTTCTCCGGCCCCCCTCCAGCCCCTCAATGTCTCTCTTGTAGTGAGGAACCCGGAGCTGAACACAGGATTCGAGGTGCAGCCTCACCAGTGCCCAGTGCAGGTGAATGGATGGCAGCCAGGACACACCATGACAGGGGTCCCTTTCTGCCATTAATGTGCTTGATTTTCACTTTAAATATGAAGTTTAAGCTTCAGCAGTAGAGCCAAAGCATGAAAACTCTCACCCCTGCCGCTAAAACCTGGCACAGCCCCCAGCGAGAGCCTTCCCATGGAAAACTACATGGGCTGGGTGTGACATTGCCCACGGCAGAGAACACGGGGGGGGGGGGGGGGGGGCAGGAACTGTGGCCTCACAGGGAACACACAGACTGACCCCGGACCGGGATCAGGAGCCGGCTCCCCGCTGTACCTGGCTGCGAAGCTGCTGCTGTGTCCACTGGCACCGACCTCTCCCTCTGCTTGAAGATGTCCCGGGGGTTCACCTCTCTCTGTGCTATCAGCGAGGCAGCCTCCTGCAAAGGGAAGACCCCACGGTCAAGGCACCCCTGGAGCCAAGGCAGGACGGGAGCGGGGAGCCTGGCTCTGTACCTGCGCCTTCTCCACTGACTCGCTCCTCGTGCAGCCCTTCTGCCGCCTGGCCTCGTACTCTTCAGCTCGCTCCTTCTGCGGCACAAGAGGGTTTGCTGCAGCCTCGCTGGGGGCCCGGCCAGCCCCCTCCCTCCCCAGGCAGCCCCAAGGACCAGAGAGATGGGAACAGGGAACAGGGAACAGCCACGGTGCTGGAGGGTGAATGAGGAGAAACCCCCTGGATCTGGGAGGGAGACGGACCCAGGGATGGCTCGGGATAAGGACTCGGTTTCCTCCAGGCTCTTCTCCTCAGGCCAGAGCATGTCCGTGGGTCTTCCCATGTCCCCCACATGCCACAGCAGTGCCCGGGGATGCCTGGGGAGCTCCTCCATCACCTTCCTGCCTCTGCCACACAGCACCCTGTGCTCTCCATCACGGAAGGTGGGTGAAGAAATGGGGCTAACGCTGAAGCTCACCCATTGCTGCTGCTCCTTGTCCCTGTTCTCTGCCTCTTGCTGCTGCTGGAGTCTCCTGAGGAGACAAGTGACAAAGTGAGGTTAGCAACCAGGCAGGACGAGGGGTTTGCCCTGCATGGGGCTGCTCTGGGACCTTGCCCCGCTGAGCTACACAGGGAAGAGCACAGGAAGGATGCTGCCCCTCACTTCTGGGCCGGATGAGGAGGCACAGGCCACCCCTGAAGCTGTGCAGGGGGCAAGGGCAAGGAGAGAGGGGCAGAGCAGCAGAAGCTCTTCCTTCAGCGGCACAGACACGAGCATCCAGCACAGAGGGGCCACGCAGACTTCCTCATCCGAGCTCCAAACAGGAAGGCAGTGCCCGCTGCTGCTGCAGAGCGAGCTCCACCACCCAACACAGGCTCAGAGAGGAAGGAAATCAGCAGAGAGAGGGCCCTGCACAAGCTGCCTCCTCTCTGCAGGGCTCAGAGCCCCCGCACCAGCCAGCCTGAAGCCCTGGTACCCCACAAACAGCGGCTACGGGCTTCAGAAACGTGTTTCAGAAGCACCCTACAAAGGGAGGCCTTGGTCCTGGGGCAGGGAGAGCCATGGACGATGCGGGACGAGCAGCCAAGCCTGGTGCTGGTCTGGCCAGGGAGATGCTGTCTCCCCCCAAGGGAACATGCAGCTGGGGGAAGCCCCCAGCCTGGCCAGCCCTCCACCACCGCTCCAGGACAGTGAGCAAGGGGAACACAACCCCTTCACATCAGCAGGAGCAGGGCGATGCTTGCTCGGGCCGCACAGGCACTAGGAGAGGGATCAGAGCCCCGAAGGCACAGTGCCACGGGGCTGAGCCTGCCCCAGTGTGACCTGAAGCCAATCCCCTCCGCACCCACTGCCTTTGGGGGGTTTAAGTGGAACTGCAGTGACTGCAGCAGCAGGGAAAGCACAGACAGGAGCTGAGGAACAACCCTGCCTGCAGCTCGGAAGCGGTGGGGACAAGGGTGGAGAGCAGAGCCAAGAGATCCCCGAGAGCAGGATCCAGGCAGCGCCAGTGGCAGGGACTCACTTCTGGGCTTCGATCTCATTGGATCTCGCTTTGTATCTCTGCTCCCTCCCTGCAGCCTCCTGCAGCTCCCGCTCCCTCCGCTCCCGCTCCAGCCGCTGCCGCTCCTCCTCTGCTCTCCTCTTCTCCTCCAGCCGCCGGTTCTCTTCATCCTTCTACCAGGGCACACACAGCAGAGCACGGGCTTAATGCTGCTGGGCCTTGGTGCCACCGCTGCAGCCCAGCGCTGCCCTTGCAGCAGGACCCAGCCCAGCTCCACACTCCCTTGGGGTCTGGAGCCCTGACTCCAGGCAGGTCAGAGAGGGAAGGTGTGGACGGAGAGAAATCTCCCCCTGAAGCCTCATCCTCCAGCACCCACCTCAGCTTTGGCCCAGAAATTATCTTTATTGACCCTCTTGATTTCGGACATTGCGTTCGTCTTCTGGTAGACAGAGCCCTGGGGGAGGCGAAGGCAGCACGCGTGAGCAGCAGGCACTGAGCCGCCGCTGCTCCTCTGTGCAGCTGGGGCCCAGGAAGCCCCCATGGAGCCAACTCACCACAGGAGCCTGAGGGCCCGAGTCCTGGAACTTGCTGTTCTCCTTGTGGAAGCTGTAGTTGGCCCCAGAGGCCTTGGCCACCTTCTCCATGATGAGTTCAGGCTCCACGTCCTCCTCGGCGCGAGCGTTGATGGTGACATGAGCCCCCTGAGCAGGAGGAAAGGCAGCACAGGAGTGAGAGGGTGGCTCTAGAAGCCACTAAACCCATCACGCTGCCTTGACGGGTCCCATCTGTGCTCCCAGAGCTCCCAAGGGAAGGAAAAGGGCTCAGATGAGTAAAAGAGGTCACCAGCCACGTTAAGATATCCCAATGCTGGGTAAGCAAACATTCCCTGGGGCTCAGAGGGGCTTTTTTCCCCCCCCCCCTGCAGTCTCCAGAGCTGGTTTTGACTGCAGAAGGTTTGGGTTGTGACAGTGGAGGGAGTCCTGAGGCTGGGGCAGCGATCCCCAGCCCTGCTCCTGCCTGCAGACACCTCTGTGCCACCCAAAGAGCAGTGTGAGCCAAGCAGGGTCCCCATGGCCGTTCCCTAACCCAGGGGCCATGGACGTGGGGAGGAAGCAGGGAAGAGGAGCAGACCTTTAAGAAGTTGGCTATGGTGCTGAGGTGGTTGGCACAGGCTCCTTTCCTCACGTCATTCACACCTTCCCCAGTCTGTGAAGAGAGTGTTCAAGGCCAGGTTGGACACAGGGGCTTGGAGCAAGCTGCTCCAGTGCAAGGTGTCCCTGCCCGTGGCAGGGCTTGGAGCTGGGGGAGCTTTAAGGTCCCTTCCAACCCAAACCATTCCATGATTCTATGACAACGGCCGCACCAGGAGGGCTCCAGGCTCCTGCCCGTCCTCAGGTGCTTCACTCAACCCATCCTAGATGGGTTCAGAGCCATTTCCCAGCAATGTCACCAGCAGCCAAGCGAGCTCCATGGCCAAGAGAGCTGCAGCAGGGAAGTGAATCCTCCCTCTTTCTCTTTGCCTGCGTCCATGGGGTTTGGGCTACACGCCCACAGCAGTGGGCACGGTACGTCCTTGGTACTGCAGCTTGGGGGAAGGGATTCAATGTGCTGGGCGTGAGCAATTCCAAAGGGAATTGAAGGGAGAAACAGTGATTTCTCCCCCGAGGCCCTTCCTGGGAAAGGTGAAGGCCAGTCCCCACTCACCCAGTTGATGAGGACATATTTGGGCAGGCCGGAGTTGGGATCCTTCACCCTGCAGAAGGCGTACATCACCTTCCCACTGTTGAGCTCCTCCACCATCTCCTCCAGGCCACCATCTGCCCCAGGAGAGAAAGGAGATGCTGTGAGACAGGAGATCACGTACACGTGGTGGGAACGGTGCTCCCTACCCCAAACCACGCTGCGAGGAGAGCCCGGTGAGCACCTCCACCACCAGCAAAGAGCCTGGGGAGGATCAGAGAAGTCCTGAGAAGCAGAGGAGGAACCGGCTGGGCCTTGGTCCCGTCCCACCTTCCACCTCTGGCGCTTCACCAAGGAGGAAGTAGAGGAGAGACCAAGAGGCTGGTGCAGGGTAAAGCAAGAGGAAACCCCGGCTGGCGTAACCCCAGGGCAGGGCTCAGGGATGGAGCAGCAGAGCCCAGCTCTGCTCAGTGATCGGAGGGTGCGCGATGGGAAGCGCTGCGCTGCCCCATGGACCGCAGCATCCCTCCTGCTGCAAGCTGATGCCAAAAAACCGCCAGAAAAGGAGAGACAACGCAAAAGCATGTGTCCTTTGAACAGAAACAGCCCTCCAGAGCACACGTCCTCCTACCTGGGCTTGTCTGACCCTTGGAAAAGCAGTGACTGCTTTCCCCCAGGCACCAGCAGGAGCCGGTCTCTGCACTGCAGCAGGACCCGCCGTCGGCTTCCCCTCTGCTATTAAATATTTATGCTTTGGCTCTAAATTTGGCACCGTGGTTTCGCAGCCCGCAGGGAAGCTGAAGGCTGGAAGCCTGAAGGCGATGGGCTGGCAGGGCCCATGCTTGCCAGGTCAGTGATTACCACAGCAGCAGGTGGGGAAGGACACAAAGGGAAGTGCAGGGAGGAGCGGAGCTCCATGGAGAGGTCAGGGCTCCGCTGGCGGGGAGCAGCAGGGTGACACTGTGCCCATGAGAGCGGGGTCCACGGAACCACACAGAGATGCACGCCAAAAGTCCCCCCATCCAACCACAACTCTTCTGCCCAGAGAAGCTGTGGCTGCCCCATCCCTGGCAGTGTTCAAGGCCAGGTTGGACACAGGGGCTTGGAGCAAGCTGCTCTAGGGAAGGGGTCCCTGCCCGTGGCAGAGGTTGGAGCTGGGGGAGCTTTAAGGTCCCTTCAACCCAAACCATTCTATGAGAGCAGCAAACGTGCTCTCAGCCCCAACAGCTCCCTGAAGAGCTCCTGCTCATCTAAAGGCTCCAGCACCAAACCACACAGAGCAGGGGCTTCACCGGACTCCTCACCTGACCGCGACCACCGAGGGCTTGCGAGGAACCGCTCCCAAACGGGCAAGGCAGGAGGGGAGGGGAGCGGAGGGGAGGCAGCGAGCGCTGCAGGATGCAAAGGGAGAGCAGAGCAACCTGCCTGGCTGCGCTCCCACGGCTCCAGCTGCTGTGTGGGCATCAGCAGCCAGAGAAGAAACACACACGCTAACTTCCATCAAGGGGGGAAGCAAGGAGAGCAGAGGCCGCTCCGGCAGCAGCAGCCTGGGAAAGCCAGGAAGCGCATCCCGGTCCTTCCTTTGCGGGCAGCTGGGATCTAAACCACGCCAGGCCCACAAAGGGGCACCAGAACTTCAGATCCTTGGGGAAAAACGCAAGGAAAAGAGACCCAGAACCTGCCCCAAGCTCCCCCGTGCTGCTGCCCTCAGGGCTCGAGACACAAGCCCCATCAGTGAGGGGCCCGAGGCACAGGATCCGGCTGGATGCGGGGAGCAGAGCCCTGGAAGCAGCCCCAGCCTCACCCAAGGTCCCCCCGCGCTCACCCCCGGAGCCGGCCACGCGCAGGTCGTTGCTGTTGCCTTCGTAGGTGAACAGAGCCCTGAAGGAAAGGCAAGAGCGGAGCTGAGCCCCTGTGGCGCAGCCCAAAACCTGCCCAGGCTCCCGGTGCCCACGGGGGGGTCCTCACCTCAATGCACACAGTGCCACGGGGCCCCCACGCTGCCTGCCCCACCTGAGCCCCCCACAGCCCCCCCAACAGCACACATCCTCTGATACCCCCATAGACCCCACAGCCTCCCCCAGACACCCCCAGTCCCAACCTCACACCCCCACATCCCCGACACCCCCTCACCTCCAGTCCCTGCCATGCACCCCACAGACACCCCCACACCGCTCATTCACAATTCCCACCCCACAGCCCCACTGAGGCACCAGCCAAGCCTTAAACGTTCCCCTATGCACCCCCCAAACCCTACCAGCCACCCCCAAACCTCCTTATCCCGGGTCCACTTCTACCACCCACTCCCCCTCAGACCTCCCCATACACCCTACAAGCCCCTGGAGCACCCCAACAGACCCCATATGCATCCCACAGCCTCCCCATGCACCCCACTTCCCCCCATCACCCCCATGCACCCCATATCCCCCCATCACCTCCATGCACCCCACATCCCCCCCACCCCCATGCACCCCACATCCCCACCCACCCCTATGCAGCCCACTTCCTTCATCACCCCCATGCACCCCACATCCCCCCCACCTCCATGAACCCCACATCTGCCCCCACCCCCATGTACCCAACATCCCCCCCACCCCATGCACCCCACATCCCCCCATCACCCCCATGCGCCCCACTTCCCCCCATCACCTCCCTGCGCCCCACTTCCCCCATCACCCCCATGCACCCCACATCCCTCCCAATCACCCCCATGCACCCCACTTCCCCCATCACCCCCATGCACCCCACATCCCCCCCACCCCCATGCACCCCACATCCCCCCCATCACCCCCATGCACCCCACATCCCCCCCACCTCCATGCACCCCACATTCCCCCCACCCCCATGAACCCCACATCCCCCCCATCACCCCCATGCACCCCCCATCCCCCCCACCTCCATGCACACCACATTCCGCCCACCCCCATGCACCCCACATCTGCCCCCACCCCCATGCACCCCACATCCCCCCCACCCCCATGCACCCCACATCCCCCCCATCACCCCCATGCACCCCACATCCCCCCCACCCCCATGCACCCCACATCCCCCCCATCACCCCCATGAACCCCACATCCCCCCCCCATCACCCCCACATCCCTGCCAGGCCCCCTCAATCTCCCGTTGCGGACCCAGCCCTCCCTCCGCCGGCCCCTCACCAGTCGGTGGGGCTCCCCACCGCCACCACCCGCCCGTAGGCCTCCTGCAGCGCCCGCCCGTTCTTGCCGAGGTTCAGCGCCATGACACCGACAGCTCCCGCCCCGCCGCGCTGCCGCGGGCCCGCCCCGGAACCGCCCCGGCACGGCCCGCCCCCTGCACCGCCAGGCCACGCCCCCTCGGAGAACCCCGCCCCTTGGCCTCGAGGCCACGCCCCATACATGATCCCGCCCCTGGACTGCACGCCCCTCATTAAACCACGCCCCTTGATCTCTAGACCACGCCCCCCTCCATCGCCCAGCCCCATGACGGCACTGCAGACCACGCCCCCCAACGTATTGCCCCGCCCCTCCCGGCTCCCCCCGCCGGCTCCCCCCGAACGCGCGGAGCCCACCCCTGGGGGCCCCGTCCTTTGGGGGTTCATGGGGACCTTGACATGGGGCGAGTCTGCAGGGCCCCCCTCCCGGGGCAGCTCTCGGGGCTCCCCATCCCCCGACGGCTCTTGGAGACCCGGTCTCAACCCAGGTTTTGGGGAGCCCCATCCCAGAGCAGTTTTTGGGGTGGTTCTCGGGGTCCCCTGTCCCATCACAACCCCAGGGGTCCCCAACCCCCAGCGTGGCCCCACACCCTGCACCCCAAGACACCCAGACATGGCCCCAGTGCCCCCCACTTCCAGGGGTCCAACAGAGCCGCTCCGAATCCAGCCCTCTCGCTCCAGGCTCCCATGGATTTCCTCAATTTCCAACTTGCCAAGTTTTGCCTGGAGCCTCCACCTTATCCAAGGATTCCAGGGAAGCTGAAGCTCCTGGGGCAGCCACAGGTCCTGGAGCCGCCGAGGCTCTGGGAGTGGTTGAGGTTCCTGGGGTGTCTGAGGGTCCTGGGGTGTCCGACGGTCCCAGCTCACCCCTCCATCCCATGGACCTCCCGTCCCACCATCACCCCTCCATCCCATGGACCTCCCATCCCACCATCACCTCCTCCATCCCATGGACCTCCCGTCCCACCATCACCCCTCCATCCCATGGACCTCCCGTCCCAGCTCACCCCTCCATCCCGTGGACCTTCCGTCCCACCATCACCCCTCCATCCCATGGACCTCCCGTCCCACCATCACCTCCTCCATCCCGTGGACCTTCCGACCCACTGTCACCTCCTCCATCCCGTGGACCTCCCATCCCACCGTCACCTCCTCCGTCCCGTGGACCTCCTGTCCCAGCTCACCCCTCCATCCCATGGACCTCCCGTCCCACCGTCACCTCCTCCGTCCCGTGGACCTCCCGTCCCACCGTCACCTCCTCCGTCCCATGGACCTCCCGTCCCAGCTCACTCCTCCGTCCCGTGGACCTCCCGTCCCACCGTCACCTCCTCCATCCCATGGACCTCCCGTCCCAGCTCACCCCTCCATCCCATGGACCTCCCGTCCCACCATCATCCCTCCATCCCATGGACCTCCTGTCCCACCATCACCTCCTCCGTCCCGTGGACCTCCTGTCCCACCGTCATCCCTCCATCCCATGGACCTCCCGTCCCAGCTCACCCCTCCATCCCGTGGACCTCCCATCCCACGGACCTCCCATCCCACCGTCACCTCCTCCGTCCCGTGGACCTCCCATCCCACCATCACCTCCTCCATCCCATGGACCTCCCGTCCCACCATCACCCCTCCATCCCATGGACCTCCCATCCCACTGTCACCTCCTCCATCCCATGGACCTCCCGTCCCACCGTCATCTCCTGCGTCCCGTAGACCTCCCGTCCCACCGTCACCTCCTCCGTCCCGTGGACCTCCCGTCCCAGCTCACCCCTCCATCCTGTGGACCTCCCGTCCCACCGTCACCTCCTCCATCCCGTGGACCTCCCGTCCCACTGTCATCTCCTCCATGCCATGGATCTCCCCTTGCTCCTTTATGGATTCACACTGGAGCTGGGAGACTGTTGGAAAAAAACAAGGATTTCACTGATTATTTCTCTCTTTTAGCAGCCCCCGGACACATCCGGGCTCTCCTGAACCCCAGAGCATGGATCTGCCTGGGAAGGGGCAGCTCTGAACTCCCCATTCAGCACATGGATGAGGTTCATTAAAAGCCGGGTAATGAAACATCTGGAGGGCTGGGAGCGGGGCCGGGCTTCCCGCTATTCCCTGAGGAACTCTGGCCGGGGGGACTGGGGTCACCAGTTATCCCGACGTTACAAAAGCCTTTTCATGGAGTCTTTGAGGCAAAGCAACTGAAGGACCTTTGTGGGGCTGGCAGGGAGCGCTGGGGCTGGGGCTCCTGGGAGCAGGAATCCAGGACTGTGCCAGTGAAATGGGGAGGTGGGAATTCCGGTTGGAGCCTGGGGGTCACGGCCAGGCTGAGGGTGATGGCTGCGGTGAAGCTGGTTGGAGGTGCTGGATGAGGCCCTGCTGGGTTCACCTAAGGGGGTGCTGGGTGGGCACCCATCCCACCCTTGTGTCCCTGTCATGGGGGAACAAGGCCACTGGTGAGGGTGACACGGACACCCTGGTGGGATGGGGATGCTCAGGTTTGGTGGGGCACAGGGGTAGGATGGGGCTTCCTCGGTGGGATGGGGCCACTCTGGAGGGACAGGATCAGCCTTTGCAGATGGGGGGGGGTCTCCTATTCTGTGGAGGAATCCAAATGGGATAGGGACACCCCAGCAGGACAGGGGCACCCTGGCAGATGGGGGCACCTTTGGTGGAACAGGGGCACTGAGGTGGGAGGGGAGCACCTGAATGGGATGGGGCAGGGTAAGGACAAGGATGGAGGTACCCAGATGGGATGAGGAGTCCCTCTGGTGGGATGGGGTGTGCTGGGTGGGATGGAGGCAGCCAGCTGGGATGAGGAGTCCCTCTGGTGGGATGGGGTGTGCTGGGTGGGATGGAGGCACCCAGATGGGATGGGACACCCTGGATGGGATGGGGAGACTTTGGATGGAAGGGAGGTACCCAGGTGGGATACAGGCACCTCAGATAGGGCACGCTGGATGGGGTAGAGGAAGTCTGGATGAGATAGAGGGAGCCTGGATGGGATGGGGAGCACATGGTATGGGGGGATCATGGAAAGATTGAACACTGATGGGATGGCGGGGGATCTGGATGGGATGGGGTGTGCTGGATGGGAATGAGGGACTCAGATGGGATGGGGGGCCCTGGACAGGATGGGGGGGACCGGGGCAGGATGAGGGAACACAGATGGGATAGGGGGACCCTGGACATACAGGGGAGGTCCTGGATGGGATGAGGGACTCCCAGAATAGGAGCCCTGTCTGTGTAGGACGGGCCCTGGGTGTGATTGCAGGGACAGGGTCAGGGTGGGGGACCTGGGCAGGATGGGGAAAACACAGAGGGGATGGGGGGACCCTGGATGGGATGGGGGCTCCTGGACAGTATGGGAGCCCTGGCCCTGCAGGGGACACCGTGGACGTACCGGGGAGCCCCTGGATGGAACAGAGGGAACACAGATGGGATGGGGGGGGACCTGGACGTGCAGGGGAGCCCTGGACGTGCTGGGGAGCCCCAGGGAGGGCTCCGGGCCCCTGGACGTGGCGCCGCTGCCCTGCCCGGTCCGGGTCCCGCCGTCGGGCGCTCGCCGGTGGCGGGGCCGGTCGCGGGGCGGTGCGAGCGCCCTGCCCTGCCCCGCGGTGTCGGTTTGCAGCCGGGCTCCTCCTCCCCCCGCCGCCCCGCGCATTCCCGACCCTCCCGGGCGGCGGCGGCGGCGGCGGCGGCGGGGCCCGGCGGGGCCGGAGCGGGGCGGCGGGGCCGGACCCCCACCATGCCGCAGCTGGAGCCCGCGGCCGGGGACGACCTGGGGGCCCCCGACGAGCTCATCGCCTTCCAGGACGAGGGCGAGGAGCAGGACAAGGGCGCGGGGCGCGGCTCGGCCCACGGGGACCTGGACGAGCTCAAGTCCTCCCTGGTCAGCGAGACCGAGAACCGCGGCGCCGGCTCCGGCTCCGGCTCCGGCTCCGACCCCGAGGTGAGGCCGGGGGGCGGCGGGGGCCGCGGCGGGCGGCGGGACCCGCTCCCGGCCGCGCTCACCGCGCTCTCCCCGCAGGCGGAGCGGCCCCCGCAGCCCCGGGAAAGTTTCCAGAAGCCGCGGGACTATTTGGCAGAAGGTACCGGCTCCCCCCGGCCCGATCCCCCCCCGGCCCCGGCCCCGGTCCCGGTCCCGGCCCCCGCCGCATCCCCCCGGGACCATCCGACACTTCGCAACTTCTTTGTTTCCGCCCCCGGCTGCGGGCGGGACCCCCGGGACCCCCCCCGTGTCCAACCAACCCTTTCCCGGTGCCCGTCCAACCCCCCCGGGTCATCCCCCCTCTGTCCAACCCCCCCCGTTCCCCCCCCCCCCCGCTGTGTCGGGGCCCCCCTCCACCGGAGGAACCGGTCCCGGCGGCCCCCCCGCAGCGATCGCGGCCCCCAGGGCCCTACTCCCCCCCCCCCCCCCTCCCCCCGTTAACCGGCCCCCGATCGCTTCCCACGGATGGATCCGTGTCCACCCCCACCGCGGAGCCGTCCCCCAGGACCCCCCGTGCAGCCGAGGACCCCCTCGGGTGGGGGCGATCGGTCCAGGACACCTCGCCCCTCGCCGCCAGCCCGGTGCCCCCCACCTCCACAGATGGGGCCCCCCCTTAAGGGAACTGCGCCCCTCCCCCCCACTGCGGCCCCCCCCCCCCCCCCCCCCGAAGAACCAAGGACCCCCCTGAGGGACCTGGGTGCCCCCCCCCTCCGCCCCGAGAGGACCACCTCGAGGGACTTGAGCATCCCCAGAGGGACCTACCTGGGACCCCCAAGTGGGACCCCCCTTCGAGAAGAACCAAGTGACCCCCCCCCAGGGGACTTCAGCACTCCCGAAGGGACCTTCACCTAACCCCCCCATGCTCCCATCTTTCCCCCCACCATGGGAGCACCCCCATCCTCCGTGTGTGTCCCCCGATTCCACCCCCTCTTGACACCCCCCCCCCTTCCTTCTCTCCCCAGTGGTCAGACGCCAGCAAGATGGGGGGTTTTTTAAGGGCCCCCCCTACCCCGGCTACCCCTTCCTGATGCTCCCCGAGCTGGGCAGCCCCTACCTCGCTAACGGAGCCCTGTCCCCCGGTGGCGCCCGCACCGTAAGTGTCCCCCCGGCCCCCCCCCCAAGACCCTTTCTGGGATGCTCAAACCCCACTTCCCTGCAGGGAAGCAACCGCCTGATGCTGGCAACCCCCGAGGGGTCCATTCCCCTTACATTGAGCTGGTTTGCCCCCTCGCGGGTATAGGGACCCCCCGGGGGTGTCGGTGAGTCTGGGGGGGGGTCCTCGCCCTGAAACCTGACCCTGAGCTGCGCCTCTTTTCTCATTGAAAACCTACTTGTTGGAGCTCTCAATGGGCTGATGTTGGAGCTCTCAATGGGCTGACATTGTCTGGCCCTTAGGAAAGTGATTAAGCAAATGGAGTGAGGATTTGGGGAGGGGAAAAAGGGGGGGGGTACAAAGGAGAACGGGATTGACCTCCCCCCACACCTCAGCATCACCCCTCTGCACCCAGAGCATCCCAAACTCCAGCCTGGGCCATGGCCATGAGCCTCACTGAGAAACTCGAAGTGAATTCAGAGCTCCAAAGTGAATTTGGACACTGGGTTAAACCGGGTTTAGCCACAGGACCCCGTTCCCTGCCTCAGTTTCCCCATCCCGGGAAGGGATGTGCTATGGTACCCGTCAATCCCGGCTGCAGCATTGCAGTTTTCCGGGTGGATTTCTCCCTCGGTGGCACCGGAGAATTCAAAGCCCATCCTTTGCCCTGTTGGAAGCTGTGTTTCCATATGTAATATGGAAAGGAGGGCAAAAAACAGTGCAGTTAAAATGGCTTAAAAGCCCGGTTGGGGTCTGGCTTCCCAGTGGTGTCGTGTGGTGAGTTTTCTGTGTGTTTGGGGTTTCTTTGGGATTTATTGGAAGTAACTGGTTTGAATGATGAGGACAGGGGGTGTGTTAGAGAAATCTCCCGAGTTCGACTGCTGGCCGGGAGTGGGATAAAGGTTGTATCCCCAGTTTGTCACTTTTGGTCTGAATACGTTTTGGAGATGATGCGCAACTGGCCACGATCCCAAATACTGGCAAGGAAAACGGGATAATGAAAAGGGACTGGGATTCGTAGAACCTGGCCGCTAACGATGATTTAATGAATCCCAGAAAAGGAGATTAATTAAAAGGAGCTGGGAGAGGAGCTGCTGTTGCATCCCGGGTGTTGATGCTGAGCCTGTTGGGGGATGAGTGGGGATGGGAAAGCCCCGGATTGGGGCCGAATCCCACTGGGTCCTATGCAGAGCTGAGCCTGGGGCACTGACTGAGTGCAGAAGCATCGCAGTAGGGGCAAACTGGAGGGGGGGTTTGGGGGTGCACGTTGCGTCTCATTGCAACCAGGAGGTGTCTGGAAAGGGAAATGTGCTGCGCCGTATCCCGTTTCATGGAATACACACACCCCCCCCCCCCCCCACCGAGCTCTGCACCACTCGGCAAACCCCATCCTCTGGACCCTGGGATGCCAACTACGGGGGAGCCTCGGCTGGGACATCATCCTCGATCCTGCATCCTGGAGCCAATGGGGCGCAGCATCCCGAGCCCATTCCACATCCAGGCACCACCCACCCTCATCCCGGGAAGCTTCGAGGCAAGACCGGACACGTGCGGCACAGGGTGGCGGGAGCAGCCCCGGGAGCTTTTTGTTTTCCCGTTTCCTTCTTTTTCCCCCCTGCAGCCGTTGGAGGAAATGAGCTGATCCACGGGATCCGGCCATCCTGGTGGCCACGGCATCCCTGGGGGGGCTGCGGCTTGAACCGCACTGCTCCGAGTGAGGAAAGGGAAGATTTTGGAGGGGAAAATCCCCAAATCCCAAGAATCTCTGTGCCGGGGGATGCTGGGACAGCCACGGCAGCAGCTAAACCACTGGATGAGCTTTTTGGGATGAACAAGCAGGCAAGCGGCTGCTTCTGCATCTCTCGTGCTCCCAAATACCTGGAAACCTGGAAAATGAGTTTGGGATGTGGAAACGCGATGCCTAAACAAGGAGCAGCGCCTCCATCCCTGTGCAAAGCTGCTGGGCACTGAAGCCACGGGACGCTCCAGCTCTTTGGGTTAATCCGCTCCAATATCACCGGTGTTGGTTCCATTCAGGACACTGGAATTTGGGATTCCTCATTCCCTGGCATCGCTGTTCTGGAATATTTTGAGGCCTCTCCAAGGTGGGGTTGGAATTCGGCAGGATCTAATGCTGGCATTGCCATTCAGAGCAGCATTTTAGCCTGGTTTTCCCTATGGGTGCACCAGGAATCAGGATTTGAGGACTCCTGAGGCTGAGTTTGGCTCCCTGGGATCATCACCCCTCAATTCCCCAAAATAGGAAGCTACCCAAGGCCGGATGGGAAGGAAAAGCTCTGGGCACCATGAGTGGAATGGATGCAAACCCCTGTTGCCGCCGCACTGGATCCATCCCATCAGGATCATTTGGAGCTGGTGCCTTTTATCCCAACCCTGGAACAAGCGGGATCCATAGTGGAGCAAAATCAGACTGGGATGTCCTCCTCCAGGTTGGGAAAGGGATGGAACCGGACACTCAGCATCCCCAAACCAGGCACAGCACCACCAGGGAGGAGAAGCCGGGACCATGCATTGGTATTGACCAACCTCACGTGGGGTTGTCGTGGTTCCGTCCCAAAACAAGGAGTTTAATCCCAGGAATTCCAGTCTGGAGGCAAGGATTTCGATGCAGCCCAGGCACCCAACCAGCTCCCTGTGCCGAAGTCATCCGTGCTCTGGTGTCATTAATGCATCGCTGGGTTGTGGCCCTCAAGTAAATGAGGGAGAAAAGCATCACTTGGGCTCCTTTCGGCTTTGTTCCTGCCATTCCCGAGCCCAGCTCCCGATCCCGGCGCGGGACAGAGGCAGATCTGTCTGCAAAGGAAAATCCATCCTGGCCCCGCGCGGCTGCCAAGGAAAATGATTCAAATTCCGAGTTTTTTGGCAAGAAAAGGGCTTGTTCCCAAAGCCGGGCGGGTGCTGCCGGAGGCTCCGCCAGAGCGGGAAGGGCTTTGGCTCGTGCTCCGGCGGGATGTGGGATGGAGGTGTTGGGATGCAGGGGGCTCAGCATCCATCGCCGGTTGGGCTCCGGGCACTTCCTTGGTATTCACTGGTTTCTTTGGGATTCCCCCCCCCCTCCCAGTTTCTGTCCCCACCTGGGAAACAGGAAGGAAAACCAAAGGATTTTTCCCACTTTTTGGCTTCTTTTGCTCAGCAGCCGTGCCCATCGCGTGCCTCCCTGCAGCAACCCCAGCCTGTGCCTCAGTTTCCCCTGTTGAGCCTCTGCACACAATGGCCCCTTTGTGTCTCTTCCTTAATTATGCCATTCGGCTAATTACCCTGAGGTCTGCTTGGAGGGGCTAAATGAGACCTACAGGAGGTTTCCACTAACCCCCCCCCCCAGCTTCTCCCTCCTCCCTCCCTTTTCCAACACGATTCCCAAATGAAAGCAATGAAGTAAGTGCTCCGGGCGACTCTCATCAGACCTGGTTTTGTTAAGGGGACTTAACACGCATTCATCATCCCGCTGCTATTCCCAGCAGCTGCTTTGCATTAGTTTTCCTTCCTTGAAGTCGCTGGCGGGAGCGGGAGGGAAAAGAGGAACCCGGAGCAAAGCGCCTGGCGCATCCCGGCCGGAGGAAGAGGAGGGATAAGGGCAGAGGAAGGCTGTGATTGCGCCGTCTCTCCAGGCTTGGGTCGAGGGTTGAGGGGGCAATGGGATGGGATGGGGAAGGTACCAGGGAGGAGGATGAGGAAGGAGTGATGGTGATGATGGTGATGGTGATGGTGATGCACGATTCCACGTCTTCTTTATGGGGTTAGTTTTTGGCAGCTCTGGCACCCTGTGCATTGCTCCCTGAGCCCTGGGAATCGCTCCTTGAGCCCTGGGAATCGATCCCTGAGCCCTGGGAATCACTCCCTGAGCCCTGCAGATCAGTCCCTGAGCCATGGGGATTGATCCCTGAGCCATGGGGATTGAGCCCTGGGATTGATCCATGAGTCCCGGGAATCGCTCCCTGAGCCCTGGGAATCGATCCCTGAGCCCTGGGAATCAGTTCCTGAGCCCTGGGGATCAGTTCCTGAGCCCTGGGAATCGATCCCTGAGCCCTGGGGATGGCTTCCTGAGCCCTGGGGTCAGTCCCTGGGGCCTGGGAATTGATTCCTGTGCCCTGGGGAGCCCCCCACGAAGCATGGCAGAGGGCAGGGGAGGCTGGCAGGCCATGCTGCCGGGTGAGCTGCTGTCCCGTGGGTGCTGCCTGTTGTGTTAAAGGACCCCCAGGTGTCCCATGCTGCCCTGGTGCTCCCCCAAGCCTGGGTGCAGCATCACCCGTCAGGATGCAGAGATGCAGCCACCAAAATAAGGAGCTCCGTGTCCATTGGGAGCAGCAGGACCCTCCTCACCCGCAGTCCCACGCCAGGGTGGCTTCCAGGGACGTCTCCCGTCGTTCCAACACCCTGGATGGACTCTTAAGCGTTTTACACACGCAGAAACCCATTCAAACCTCTTCCCGGGGTGCACATCGCGTGTCACATCCCCCAGGTCCAAGGATGCTCGGGGCAGGGGGGGGGCTTGGAGCCGGTGGGATTTTTCCTGCCGGGGTGGGATGAGCCCTTTGCACCCGCTGGGATCCCCCCGGCGCGGATGCAGCCGCTGGGGGATGAATGGAGCCATTCAGCGTGATGGACGGGAGCTGAAAGCTGCATACAAAAGCCTGGGGGCAGCAGGGAAAACTTGTTGCCGGCAGGTTTGGGGCTCAGGGAGGGAATTGCGGTCGGTTGGATCGTGGTGAGTCCAATCCCAGCTTGTTCCATGGCTCCTGCGAGCGGCAGGGATGCTCCGGGCATCCCTGCATGGAGGATGCTCCTACCCATGGGCAGTGGATGCTTGGAGCATCCCTGTTTTGGGATGAAGCTGGCTCTTGGTATTGCTTGTGAGCCTTATCCTACTTCCTTCCATCCCTTCCATCCTGCCTTTTCCTTTGTGGAGCCGTAGCTGGGTCCAGGCTGCTCCCTGGCATTCCCGGTGTGGTAACAGAGGGGCTGTACCTTGAGCTAAGGTC